AGATGGCGCCATGGCCATAACATTAAAGGCCACGCTGAGAGTCTAGTAAAAAACCGATGCAGAAACAGTGGACGACGGAAGGACGTCATGATTACTCCCTACTCTGCTCTTACTGCAAGCAATGGCCTTTATTACAATTGCCCTTACTACAGCCCCCCGCCTACCTTCGATCGGCTTTTTTCCCTTGCTGCTCTGTTCCGACCTTCATTGCGTTTGTAGTGGCCATGCAGCACAATAATTGCCTTCTACGCTTGCCAACTACGCTAAGAATCTTCGAGAATTACGAAATCTCCTAGTATTATTATTTTTACCATTATATCAAACGGTTCCCTTTTTTTCCCGGTTTGATTTCATCTAGTATTAGCCACAGCCAACTAGTTGCTCACAGAACGGCTGACTAACTGTCGCCCCAACGTCAAACGCCTATTTGTAAAAAAAAGATAACGTTTAACTAAAATGACCGTTTCACTGTTTGCATTGCCCACATTCAATGTAGTCTCTCTCATTGCCCACAGCTTCTCTTCCTAATATCTTTTTGCCTGTTGTCTTTTATAGTTCCCACTTTTCGTTACATTTCTGCCTTTCTTTGTTCAGGACGTTTACAGATTTTCCTTTTTTTTGCCACCTAACATGGTTACAAGCTTCTGTAATTTCTACTATCACTGCGTTTCCTTCCGACTATGAAGTACGCAAGTATTTTTTTAGCAGTAACAACTTATTCACTGTTTTCAACGACTTTTTGCAGAGGATTCTCGGAGATAATTACGAGCAACAAACGCCGTCAATTTTTACCAGGAGAACGACCAGCAACAAAAAGAAAAATAGTTCAGAAGCATGAGACGAGAATAAGATAGGAAAAAGCTTCTCAGAAGCATACGAATGCTGAAGTCTTTGACCGGAGGCTATACGCCGTTTGCTAGGACCGTCTAACCGCGATGTATCATGTGTGCAAACCGTAGACATGCCAAACAACTGTCAGGATATTAGCGATAATAATACGTCAGAAAATTCAATTTTCGTGATTTCTGCTTGTCGACGGTCCAATATACGATTTTTTTTTGTGTTCCGTAATTACGATACCGCAGAAGCGTTACGAAGTTTTTCACAACTCTCTGCTTACATCAGTGATGCACGCACGTCAACTAATAAATGTACCCTGAAATTTCAAAAACCAACGGTATAAGAATGAAAATAGTACATTTTAAATTTCAACGAAAATTAACTAGGTATCTGGCTGGTCTTACATGCGTCACACTTACTATGAAACAGTGACTATACAAGTGCAGGATACATACAATATACCTTTGGTGTTTTATTTTAACGATGTAAGAAATCGTTGTTATATGTTTAAAACAATCGAGACTTAGCCCAAGTCGTACGACCGGCACAAAATAGCGATTAAGCTACACAAAGTAATTAAAGCAAACAGTTCAGTGATACCGACCAGGCTCTGCGTTTCTAGCACTTAAAAAAAGGATTCCATTCGTTCGTCGGCGCCTTTATGACGCCTACACCATAAAAGTCAGGCAACTCTAATCGTAGGACAAATTGAATTCTTAAGAGTAATAAGGCTTCTAATGATACAGAGGTCTGATACAAAACAAATACCCAGCTTGAAACATTACCGAAATCTTGAAAGGCTTGAAAAAGTGCGCTTGATGCGCATTTTGAAAAGAACCGCGAGACGAAGATAAGGTTCCGACCATGGAAGGAGGGGACAACGCCTACGGCTGCGTTTCTACAAAACATTTAAATCGTATCAGTGCTTTATTATAGCAGGATAATGCTAGGGTCAATAGCGCACAGGCAAATGGAAGCAGGAATCGCAAGAACGATCATGCTAACATTGCCTATTGTTTCCACATCCTACCTGAAGATACTACTAAAATATATACACATGTGTATGTTTGTGGTATACACACGATAACTAAGATTAAATGACCTACGTAAATAATGGATTACTACAAAATGTTTAACAGGAAAGAAAACCAACTAGAAGTCAAAACTAAAAAGTTCCATCTGTTCATAATAGCAGATGATATACGCAACGAAAGATTCTTGTACGGAGAACCAATAATCTGTAAGCTACAATATATACCCTCTTGCAGGACAAGCGGATTTCCTGATAACGCATCTTTGTCCGTTTACCCGTGAAAAATTACCCCTCTTATATATTCGCATCATTGAATTTCCCACAATTCAAAGATTTAACAAGGAACAAGGTGTAAGATGCAACAATAGACATGTATTTAGAACAGAACGAAATAAATATTAAACAAAAATTAATAAACTGGGTAAAATTAAACGAAAGTAATTGAAATGGATTAAACAAAAAGCACCTAAAGTAATTACTGACTTTCTAGATGTTCAATGATAGGGCTCACAATTATCGGTCTCCAGTTGTAAAGCATTGTAAAGACCAAACGGCACTTCAGAATGAAAAAGAGTCAATGCAGAAACAAAATGGTGTTTGTTTCACGTGAAATTTATTATAGAATTATAATCCAAATACTGAAAATTGAATAAAAAATGGAACTCCGTGAATTGACTTCAAGGGTACGGTTAATCCATGTGCCATTAAGAGAATTTCAACCCACAAAAATCTTTCTGGAGCATACGGTTGCCATTGATGAAGCATTTTTTCTACCGTTAGCCGAAGAGGGACCAAGAAGAAGAGTAGCGTCACTCTGGAAGGAAATTAACTTTGGTGGCGGCGCCGAATAGGTCAGGGCGTAAGATGATTACAATGGACATCAAGGGCATCTGCTACAGTAACACATTCACCAAAAATAGGATAATGAATGCTGCCTGCTATGTCGAGTTCAATAGATTTAGAGACACCGGTGCGGGCATTGAAACAAGCGAAAGCAAGGCGTTGAAAACAAGCAGTCTCGTTGCTTGATGACAACACCAGACAAACCCATACAACAGTTACTTACTGAATTGAGCATACGAATATCTAGGGTCAACTTCAATCTGCTTTTTTTTTCAATCTGCTGAGTTTATGGAACTTTCCATGCCTTAAAAAACCAATTGGTGAAAAAGCTTATCGCATTATCGATTTACTTTCGAAATAACAGAAATTACATATGGGTACGCATATAGCAGCAAATTCTGCTTAAAGCGTTACATATCTAAAACACGGAACAAGCTTAATATGAAATCCCTAGATTTCAATATCCCCTTCTTTCGGTTTCCATTGTGACATTTTTTTACTGCAGAATGAGGGAACATGTAGCGGTAACGTAGACGCTCTACTAAGATTACCATCAAAAAGCAACAACTCGCATAATCTATCGAGAAATTATTTCAAACTAACTTCAACAGCACAGCAAACAACGACTTTATCTCAAGTTGACACCGTCTGAGTTTGTTTATCATTGATGAAGTTGCTATCAGACGTTGAATAATATATGTTCCAAAATTATTTTGTAAAAGACTTCAGGACGAACTCAATATACGTGGTTTTTGTATTGCTAAAGAACATTAGCTACGCGTTACCTCTGGTACCCAATTTCGCATAATGATGACAAAATATCACCAACGACAGTTGTATCAAACACGTGTCTTTTTATATGTTATTTTATATGTCCTATAGAGAGGTACATATACACTAATCATTGTGAACGGCAATCGCAAATTGATAAGGTTTTCTTAAGCGTTGAGCGTCACTTAGATAACCAGAAATGATTGCATCAAATAACGGTCGTCAATTCGCAAGTAGCTAATTTAGAACGCTTTTAGAATATTGTGGAATTGCCCTATTTATAAAATAGCCAAAGTGATAAAAATAGTTTAAAAACGCCGAAAGGTAGCAATATTGTTTGTGTGAGGCCTTAATTGAATACCTCAATTTGTGTTTTTGTGAATGAAGTTTTATCGTCGGCAGAAGTACTAATAGGAGAATCATTTCACAAGACAAATTTACTATAGTTTACGAAGCGTAAATGAATAACTGTAAGGTCAATTAAAGATCAAAACTTAAGTTTAATCAATAAAAAATTTCCTACAGAATTTATAACGATAATGTAAAAGTATGGTATATTTGAATGGTCCGTTCGAGCACGGATTGCAGCATAGGTATCATGTAATGTCAAAATCCCGTAGGAAAACTCAGACAACATATCGAACTAATAGGACAAATGGGCAACACTATCAATCCTGAAAACGTCCTTTACGGTTATATCAAACATTGGGAACCAGATGGGAAAATCGACGCATAAACAAAGTGGCGACCAACTCAGCGACATCGATCGCTGAGTTTGTTGCCACCCTCGTTTCAATGACGAACAGTGCCTCGAGGTAAATTTTGCGCAACTCAGAAGACGGTGGTAGCCTCAAATAAAATAATTCCATCTTGAGGTCCATTACGCTACCCAGTAAACAGCGTGTTGTAGGGCTTCAGTTTACTACCTGTATTACTTATTCAGGGGCTTCTCAATGGCACAGTTTACGCATAAATATATGTATTTACGTATTTAGACATACCCACTCACACGCTCACAAAAACAAAATGTGAAATCTGTATGATGAAAAACTCACTGTATAACTTGACATAGGATGTGCTCAAAATAAACTCGTATGTGTGTATGTATGTATGTATGTATGTATGTAACATTACACAAATTCTGGGATTGCCAGTTAGCGATACCTAAATATCGTGCCCCATTTGCAACACCGAGTGCAAGCGTACCTATCTTGTTATCGTCTAGTATAACATTACAAGAAAGAACATTACATGTACTTGTCTTGTAGGACACACGGATTATCTATGAGTATTTTTATGTATATATACATAGCATGGTAAAATTTTTGTTTGCAAATAGAAGTATCCTTACTGACGCCGTGACTCGACAAAATGGCAACCTTCCTATGGCTAACTGCCAAACGGATCTGTTTGTTTAGGTGTTATTCTGTAAATATGAACTGCGTTACCTTATTAGCAGTAAAATTTAAGATGTACTCTTCATTTCCTTTTTTTGTGTTTGGCTGTTGCACAGATGAACTGTCAATTGACATAGACAACCCAAACCCGTTGCACGTGGCCAACTGTACACCTGTAAAATTTGTGTGCAGACTTAATTCGACGAGTGAGAGGCCCTCTACAAACCCTGTCGAAGTCTATTGGTCGTTCCGCGGTGAGAACGCGTCCAAACTCCCGGGCGTTAATACCACATTCGACGGACATCTCGCCTCCCTGCACATCCCGTGCCCTGAACGAAATTATAGTGGAGTTTACCAGTGCCTTGCCGAAGAAAAAAATACCTCGATCATCTACAAGAAGGAACTTAACTTCAACGTTTATGGTAAGTATATCAATAGACCGTTAATTTACTCCCAAACAGCCTATTATAACGGATATATATACCTCTTTTCTATTCAACCATAATGATTAAATACGAACTTAACTAGGCGTTCGTTCAGCAAGGCGGTTGCATCGAAGTAACTATCTAACGAAGACATTGTCTTGAGGTTTCGTTAGAGCGCATCAAAAAGGAGACCGCAAGTGGAATCAGCTGATACTCTCAGCTTCAGTCAAGCAACTGTATTAATTAGTGAGCTATATTTTTTTTTGTTATATAAGATTATTTATATTCTATCTTTATCTACATAAGGTTAGAACATAACGAACGTGTATCAGGTACATATGACAAATTAAAGTGTGAATATCGGGCATATACCGACTAACCACAAATGAGCCACAGGTTTGTTTATAGCGCAACGTAGGTGACTTGCATAATCGCAACAAACGCATTTTCTCTTCTGATCGGCTTTGAGAGCATAACGGTTGTCAGTCTCCAGCGTTCAAAACTCGTTCTTACTGAAAATTTACTGGTAGCTGTCGGATCAAAGATAATATGGACGATCTAATCTGTCACATCGTGAGCAGCCTTCAGAAAATGATGGGGCCGGAGGTTCAACTTTTGGTTGGAGCTGTCAGGTGAAATGGTCAAATGAGGTGACACGTTTAGCCACAGATTAGCAATGGCCACCAAAACGAGTGGTACGATTTCCACCTCTGTGGCCCAGCCGTACTATGGTATCATTTGGAACCGAAGCGGATATGCTTTTAAACAGAAATCGAACAACGTTTCCACCCAGAGGAAGTCGGCTCATAGGAAAAGCTCTTTGAACGAATGAAGACAAGCGAAGAAGTGTTTAATAAGACTAAACCAGCCCTTTGGAACTCGCATACAACAACTATAGGTCTTTCCTATCCAATATAAAAACAGCGAACTCTATTATACCTTCTTGCGAATCTCATTATGGCGGCTGAAATGGCCTCGTACAATGCCCTGCTCTAAGCCGCGTGGTGTTACGCGCTGGAAAACTGTGGCAAACAGCAGCCGGTAATCAGCGGAGATGCAACACAGTCACGCGGGTTGTCGTTGTCAAGAACGAAGACGCTTTCGGGGTAATTATTTGCGTATACGACCGTCGAACACCATGCCATGTAAACATTGCCTTATGATGGCCAAAAAAGGCCAGTTGAAAACTCGGGAATTGGTAATTGCGGCCGTCGGCCTACCAAAGTCTACGATTTAAGAGAATAAAGTCCTTCATTCATGAACACCTGCGCAGCTTCATATGGTGTGGTGTCATGACCCGAAAGGGGCATGTGAGATCTCAGTCATCAACCTCGATCAATAGCTTTGTATGACAGGAAACATCAGACAAGACCGATCCGGAAATCTAAACCACTCATCGGGGGTGAGAATCTTCGATATGCTCCTCTGCTGCTAGATGAGGAGTTCGACCATTTATTTGTTAAGCGGAGAAACCTACCCGTAAGACAGTTATACCATACCCACTAGCGATTATTCTCCCATATATGCGGGTCTGTAGTGAATAGCGTGATCGTAAGGGGTTTGCATCACAAAGTACAGCAGATGATAAGTGAAGAAGGATGGTTTAATCCGGTTTCGTATGTATGAGGTGTGATTTCGTATGACTGAAGTACAATTTCGACTTATAAACCCGGAGTGGCATGGCAAACCGTAACGCGGACACGATGTTGCTGCTATATTTAGTAGTATTTCAGATAAAAGAGAGAAGTGAAGAAATAGCCAGATTGTTTTGCCGTCGAAAGCTGAATCGGCTAGTCAATATCTGCTACGGGGAGCCACCCCACGCATGCTCTTCCGGGCTGCTAGGCCTCTGGTAGATCCTTCCGCAGTCGGTGGAATTCGCTTTCGGCCACCAAAGCCAGCCGGACCAGAGACTGCCCACTGATTGAGAGTGAAGATCTAGAAGCACGTCCGCAGTTGTAGTGGATAAGACCGAACCGCAAGCATCGTCTTGGCCAACCGTCGACATGCTATTCCATAAAAATGAAAAAGACCTGGATTTTATGGGGGGCAGCCCGCGCCTGGGAAGACACCTCTGTTCGTGCTATTCTTATAAGTTATTGCACCTGCTTTGCTGAGCCCGACGGTTTGAACTCTAGAAGAGGGCCCACTACAATTAGATAACGCTAGGTGCTTTCAGGGTCAGCGCGTACGACAGTGTCTGACACGTTCCAACATTCACTATGTGAGGACCGCTGCGATCCGAGTGGACTAGCGGTGTACACGATCCTCATGGTCACGGGGCGTCTACCCTCTCTGCGCAAGATCGTGGGCGCAACCCCAATTTGAACTACTTCATGGATTTAAGCACGATCGTGCGGCATCCAAGCTACGGAATAAGACCCATGCCTGGCTTTATCTGTAAAAACGAGTTCCCGGAAAGACAACACCACACGCCTTACCCTTCGTACCGGAAGGCCCGTTTTCTCGCGTTTCCTACGCCAGCATCTCTGCACCTCACGGAGATAGAAACTCCAGCCAAGATGAAGCGTCGGAAAGTAAGTCGCACGGCATACGTGCTGCTTGCAGTACGCAGGCCACGGCAGCGACGTGTTGCCACTAACTTACGGGGTATCCGGAAAGCATGAGTGCCAAATCTTCCTCGATGGTGTAAAGAAGAGAAACAGACGTGTAAATTGTACCGTTACAATAAACATATTCGACTCCGGATGGCTGTTTGTATCTAATACCACTCCGCCGGTCGTTCAATAGACATAGAACTGCATATATATATATATATATATAGATGAGACTAAACCGGGAAACATCATACGCTATATCGACCCCTATATTTAGCTTCTTAAACTTCGTATCTAGGAAAGATCGAATTATGGATTGCGTTTAGGTTAAATATAGGGATCGATAGATTGTATGATGTTTACCGATTTAGTTTTAGTAAAATCGGTTCCGCAGTTTTTTATACGCAATGCACGTGTGGTTTGTACTTAGCGCAACTTATTTCAGTCGTCCACAGGTAATCTTCTATAGTGAATCCACACGTCGAATAGCCATAGAAAACAAAGCGCGAGCAAAGCTTAAGAGGGGTCCTCTATAGAGTTACGGCTCATCTTCAATGCAATAGGTTCAACAGTTTTCTAGAGATTTGTTTGAAAATGTTTTTGTGGTACATATACCGTTTACTCCTTCAAGACACAAGACAAATGACTGAACGTTCACTGTCTTGATCCTCTACCCATTCATGGAAATTGTCTGGCCATATAAAGCAGTCCTACGGATGGCAACGTGCAAAGTAGCCTAACCTCAGCTAAAGTGGTGCGTTTTCTTCTGCCAGTCTTTCCCACTTAGAACATCTTGAACGAAAGTTAAGAAAACCAATAAGAATAAAGCTTTACTTGATTTTTGAGTTTTACTTCGGAACAAACGAGGTTGCTAGGGGACAGCGCGATCTAGAGCATGCAGAGATAATTTCCTGTCAACGGTTTGCGTTCCTAATATTCAGTACGTAGACGCATTAGTCAAGACTAGGGGTATTCTGACTGATTGTGATAATTGTAACATACTTTTCATAGTTGCATTGTGCTTAGTTGCTAACTTTTACCTTAACGGTAATTCTGATTCCTGGAAGTAACCTTCTGCAAAACACATCTCGAAGCGATGTCTTAAGTTGTTACCTAAATCAAAAGAAACGATCTGTAGAGCGGATTTACCTTGCCAGTGTGCCAACTAGCGTTTCCGATTTGACACGCGTCTCCATGTTAGCAACCTTCTGCCCGGACATCATCGCCACTTCTTTCTCCCATGCGTCTACTGTTTTCATATCGGCGTCATAGGGTAATCCTTTCGCAACAGTTTTTGACCGTTACATTTTTTTGCTCAGAGTTTGCAGGAAGATAGCATGTATATATGCTTGTACACGATCTAGAAAAGTCATGGAAAGTTTCTCTAAAAAAATTCGATTTCGATTCCCGTTTTTTACTGAGTAGTTAAATATCTGAGTTCTATAATGTACGTGAGATTTAAAGCCAAATCGAGCTTAAGCCGTGTGGGTGTCTCGGAACAGACGCACTGAAATAATCCACGGTCATCTTGATTTGCATAGCCGCCCTTTTGTCCCTTTACGCACGGTGAATCATGTGTGAAAAGTGGTGACACTCGAGTCATTTGAGGCCTGGGCCTTTGTATGGGCACGCTATTTCCAGGCACGTATCTCCGGCAAGAGCAAGCAAAGGAGGCGCCACGTAAGACAGTTTGTCTAGCATACGAAATCGGGGAGGAATAAGACGCCAGTAAAGTTGAGGGGTATAATAAGGGAACAGGCCAATAAAAATAAAAGAACAATGACCGAAGCCATCGAAGCGGAGGTTTTAACCGACAGCTGCCACTCCTGCTGCCGCCGTCACTGCTTCTAAGCAGCGGATAAAGTACCTGTCTTGGTCAAGTTCTGCTCTATTGCTCATTCGAGTTTCGTTTTCGATTCCTTACTACTCGCACTTAATTCTTGCACTGCCTTTACATTGACTAACTTTGGAGTACTGCAAGTGCCGATCGGCTCAGCTAGCTGACTATGTGGGCATATTGCTATTAATCCAACGTTTGATGTTGCGTCATCTTCGTAAAAATGAAAAATATTGCTTTCGTAGCTTGACGATGCTCTGTAAACGAAATAATGGAGGCGCTGGTGACGACGTTCCCGTGCATTAGCTGCTGTTGATGATAGAGTTGTTTCTGCTACTATTACTGCATTATGTCAGTACTGAATCGGTAATAGTGATGACACTCCAGGTGGGTAAAAGCGTGGCCTGCAGGCCGTTCAAGATTCTTCGGGTGTCTGTGGCACGTGCGCAGTCGCCGTCCTCACAACGGCTGCCGGTTTCCTTAGATCCTGTCTTGAGGTCATTCCTTTCTCTCTCTCTCTCTCTCTCTCTCTCTCTCACACACACACACACCCCCCAATGGGTCGTGCCCATCCACAACGATTAATCTTCCTCAACCGCTAT